AAATATACCAAACATGATAAAATACAATACAATAACCCATTTTACAAAATATTTAGCAGTGTAATGGCAGTGGGGAAGAAACTGTTGTGGAATCTGCTGGACCTGCATCCAATGCTTCGAAGCCTCTTCCCAGAGAGCAACAGGGAGAACAGTCCATGGTTTTGTTTAAGTACTTAAATGTTTAGAACAAGTCAGAATATATCACTTATATGATGCATTGATGCAGGGGATCACACACACACACACACACAGACCCACCCACACACACACACACACACACACACACGGCTAACCCCACTGAAATATTAAGTGTGCACCCTCAATACGCCAGCAGGTAACCAAGAACAGCTTGTGTGTTTTAAGTTAATGGAGCTACTGGGCTCAGCACGAGTGTATTGGTCCTCACAAGCATAGTATAACAGGAATGTATGTGTGGCACGCAAGTTAGAGGTTGTTTTAAGTGACGAGGTGGATTCGTCACAGTCACAATAACCATGACAGGAAATTTTCATACCCTACAACAGGGATGTTCTTCTGGCAAACGGGTAGATAAATAAGGATCTCACTGAATTTGGTGGAAGCTGCACCTCACTCGTTACGTTTGCCATCGTCCCTCTAATTGTCTGCACCTGCACATTGGGCACAGAAGCTTGTAAAAGTGCAGTATTTTCAGAGCCCCAAGACCATAAAATTCTGAGACGCTGATTGGCCATTAAATTATTAAATTCACCTAGCAATAGTACATGATTGGCAGATTCTCTGCACATGTGGGGCAGTCTAATCAGAGCCCCAAGACAGAGACGGTAGGAGTCTGTCTGTGGAAATCCACAAATTAATGACAGTAGATAGGGAAATGTAGTTTATATAATTTGTTTTGCTTATAGGTACACACTCTAGAGAATAAAACTGACATTTATGAGTTAATTTCTAAAAAATATATTTTACGTTTCTCTCTTCTTATCAGGGAGGGCGGTGCCCCAGCGCCCCCTATTGGCCGGCCGCCGCTGGCCCACTGTATCTGTAAAGTCTCTCTTTATAGATGTCATAGTGAACCAGGAGTCTCGTCTTTCTCCACCTGCGTTCAGCTTTTCGACACTCCCTTTTTTCACTTCTAACTGCTGGAGCACTTCTCCAAGGAGATTTTTTCTTTCCGGAAAAGACTTTCACTTTAATTGGAGCAACGCAGCTAATGATGTCTGAGACTTTAGACTAAAAGTTATCTACTAGCTCATCTACTGAGTTGCAGCCCAAGGTTGTAGTAGCAGATTAAGCTTGAATAAAAGTTTCTGTGGCATTTTCCTTAAAGGTGCGTTTTCTAATGATGTCCCTTTGGCTAAATGAGTCACTGGAAATGATGCCCTCAAAGGTAACAGAAAAGTGATCAGATAGGGCAACATCAGTAACACTGACTTTAGAAATCTTCAGACCTTTAGTGATGATCAAGTCTAAAATATGTCCCTGTTTGTGCGTTGGTTGCTTAACATGTTGAGTTTCTAAGTGTGTCACACAGTTCTTTTGCACTTCTGTCTTCAGTGTTGTCAACGTGAATGTTAAAGTCTCCCACAATAATTAAACAGTCATAATCAACACATATCACAGACAGGAGGTCACTAAAATAATGTAAAAAGTTTGATGTGGACTTAGGAGGCCTGTAAACATTTAGAAATATAGTTCATACCGGGCTCTTTACCTGCAGAGCCAAATGTTTGAAAGAGTAAAATTTTACCAAATTCAAATGTTGCAAGGTTTTTACATTTCCATCTAAACTATGTGAAACTATGAAAGTATTACAACATTATCGTCTGGCAAATAACATTGACATTACTCTGTAGTTAATATATATATATATATATATATATATATATATATATATATATATATATTAGTGCTGTCAATCGATTAAATTTTTTTAATCGCGATTAATCGCATCAATGCCTGAGTTAACTCGCGATTAATCGCATTTTAATCGCACATTTTTTTCCTGATTGAAAATCATTTAAATACTCTCGATGACATACAAAAAAATACATACAGGCTAGGTTTGTGCCAATGTTCTTTTTTTAAAATGAAAACAGGTCACAGATACTGATTTATGCCAAAAATAACAAATATGTAGCCAAAAAAAAGGCCCTGAAAACAGGCTGATGTAAAAGAAAGTCTTTACAGTTAATACAGTCTTTTGAACAAAGACAAGCATTTTACCCTACTGCTATAAAATGTAGTACAGTTAACATTAGATGTTAATTAACCAAGATAATAATGAACAATTTTCAATCAATACATCAAAATCAATAGACCGACATCACTAGATGGTCTATGCTCTAGAAAGTTACTTTTCAGGCTCTTAACAAAAGTGAGAACACACACGCACCCACCCACCCACACACACACACACACACACACACACACACACACACACACACACACACGATACCGACCTGTGGCGTACACACACAGCAAGAGTGCCGTAGCAGATTCCATTTCACCTCAGTAATCTGTTTTCTCAGCGTATTTCAGGTTGCTACTACTTACCAGACACTCAACTTGTTTGTTGGTGGTGGGGCATAAAGAAAAGGCACTAGCGTCACCCAGTGTATGAGCGTCTTTTTCCCTTGAGGAGCTCCGCTCTTGAAGCCTATGAGAAATGCATAGACTGGGGGAAAATAGCCCCGCCTTCCCGCAGGCTGCAGCGGGATGTACTTGGAAAATTGTACCATAAAACCACATAGCGTTAATCTCACGTTAAAAAAATTATCGCCGTTAAAATGGCCTCGCGTTAACGCGATAATAACGCGATAATTTTGACAGCACTAATATATATATATATATATATGTATATGTATATATATATATATGTATATATATATATATATATATATATATATATGTATATGTATATATATATATATATATATATATATATATATATATATATATATATATATGTATATATATATATATATATATATATATATATATATATATATATATATATATATATATATATATATATATATGAACAAACACACTCTACTGGTTGTGTGTTGCAGCAACACATGAAGGTGGAAATCGTGTTCTAATCAAATGGTCAAACAGTTAATTCTGCACATACATAGAATAAACTCACCACAACTTCCATTCAAAATATAAGAGTTTATCAACAAAAAATCATTCAGCTTCTTGTCAAACATATTTCAGTGTAAAACTCTTGACTAAAAACTAGTTTATCTTGAGTGTGTATGTCACTCCATCTCGGTGGGGACTTGTGTTGTTTTGCACCAGCTAAGAGTCCCCTGCTGGTAAGGTAGGTGTGTGTGTGTGTGTGTGTGTGTGTGTGTGTGGCCATGTCTTTAATACCTGGTGGGGACAATTTCCTAGGAACATGCTACATTTTGGGGACTCATAGGTACTTATGGGGACCAACAACTGGTCCCCATAAGGAAAGTTTCTCTTCTTGGGGTGGGGGTTAGGTTTAGGACTAAGGTGTGAATTGAGTTTAGGTTAGGTTTAGGGATAGGTATGTGTCGGTAATGGTTAGGGTTAGGGCAAGGGTCATGGTTAGGCCATATAAATTAGTGGGAAATGAATGGAAGTCAATGGAAGGTCCCCACAAGGATATTGTGACACAAGGTGTTTTTGTGTGTGTGTGTGTGTGTGTGTGTGTGTGTGTGTGTGTGTGTGTGTGGGTGTGTGTGGGTGGCTGTGTGGGTGTCCTTACATTTCTATCCATGCAGGGTCCCATCGTCGGGAGCACACTCACTGCAGGGGGTCCAAAATCGGAGTGGGGCCCAAAATGCTGGGCCCCAATCCGATTTCAATTCAAATGTGCTCAGCAGCCCCCCCTGATGCTGCCATCGGTCTGTGACAGTGTACGTCACTTCCGCAAATGCGCAAAGCATTTAGGGTAGTTAGCGCCATTTATGTGGTGAAGAGACAGCAGCAACGAAGAAAAGAAAACTAACAGAGAGAAGAAGTGTTCTAGTTGCTTCCTTTGGAAATAATGGGACACTGGTGCTGCGTCAAAGGATGCAATAGTAATTCTAAACAGAAAACAGCAGATGGGGCCGTACGGTTTTTCGTATTCCCCACTTGGAAAAAAAAATATGGACCGCAGACAGAGGACTTAACAAAGAGGCGTCGGGCTGCATGGGTCGCTGCTGTAAGAAGGAAAGACATCACGTTCCATAAAATATCCCCTCATGCTCGTGTTTGCTCTCGGCATTTTCACAAAGGTAAGTCCTTATAAATATACACTAATAGAAATCAACACGCTGAAATGGTTTGCTTATAAAGTTGCAGGAGTTCATGTAAACATACTGAAACATGCTGTGGAAGAGAAGCGGAAAGTGATGTGTTTTTTTTATTTCTTTTTTAGACCGCTAAAATTTAATAAATAATGCATTCTCTGTATATAATCATTTACACAATCTGCAATACAAATATTTATTTTTAATGAATAAATATATATAGAAACACTGTACATGTAAAACCACTGTATATATAAAAACACTGTACATACCCACTCGTCAGCCAACTCACTGTATTTACTCATCCTGTGCAATCTACTTAAGTTTATTTATTATAATCCTTTGTTCGTCCTGTAAGCTTTTCAGTTTATTTATTTACCTCTGGCCTTACTAGTCCGATGTACTTGTGCTGTTTCGGTATAGCAAATTTCACCACTGTGGGAAACATAAGCATATCTTATTTTATAACACATCTAATCTAATGGGCTCTGTTATTAAGGTGCTTTATATAGTGTGTTGAATAGATGTGTAAAACACTCAACCTTTCATCTACTTTACAGGTCAACCCGCATATGAGATGATGGAGACTGACCCAGACTGGGCTCCATCCCTGCATCTGGGCCACACTGACATCAGACCAACAGACACAGAACGCTCTTTAAGACATGGTTATCGGGAACAGCTGAAAAAGAATGCCCTGCAAGCAACTGAAACGGGGCTCCATCAGGCTCATGAAATCCTTGAGCAACAGGATGAAGTTACAGATGAGGCGACAGAGAACCCTAACCAGCAACAGACTGACACGCAGAAGGCTGCTGAAAACGTTGGCCGGCCAAACACCAAGGATGACACAGAAGGTGGTCGTCAGGAAGGACAGACAGAATGTAACCTGTGTCTGCTCAGGTGTGCAGAGATGAACCGTCTTTTGGAAGAAAACAGAGAGCTGCGGCGTGAACTTGCTGAGCTGCGGATCTCTGATGGCTTCTTTGGAGACAGTAATGAAAAAGTCAAGTACTATACGGGTCTACCAAACTTGGCAACCTTTATGGCTTTGTTTAATTTTCTGCTGCCTCTCATGTCTGCTCAAAACAAAATTCTCAGTCCATTTCAAATGCTTCTGCTAACCTTCATGCGTCTGAGATTGGATCTGCCCTCAAAACACCTTGCTTATCTCTTCCGTGTTTCACCAAAGACTGTGTACAGAACATTCAATGAAATGGTGTCATTTTTATATGCAAATCTGAAGCGTGCTATTATGTGGCCAGATAGAGACACCTTGCACAAAATTATGCCTCATCAGTTTGTGGAGGCCTTTGGACATAGAGTCACAGTGATTATTGACTGTTTTGAAATTTTCACAGAGAAACCTGCTAATTTGAAGGCACGTGCCCAGATGTTTTCCTCCTACAAGCACAATCATACCATGAAGTATTTAATAGGCATAACACCCAATGGAGCTATATGTTTCTTATCAAAAGGGTGGGGTGGGCGTACAAGTGACAAACATATCACCTTGAACAGTGGCTTTCTTAACATGTTGTTGCCTGGGGATATTGTGTTAGCTGACAGAGGTTTTGATATACAGGAAAATGTTGGCATGCTGTGTGCGGAGGTCAAGCTTCCAGCCTTCACAAAGGTGCGCTGTCAGCTGGATGCTAAGGATGTAGAAGAAACAAGGAAGATTGCACATCTAAGAATTCATGTCGAAAGGGTGATTGGAAATGTTTGTCAGAAATACAAAATATTAACTGGAACCATACCCATAAACATGCTATTAACATGTGAAGGCGAAGAAGTCACTTTTTTGGACAAGATTGTCACTGTCTGTTGTGCCCTTACAAATCATTGCCCTACTGTAGTGTAAAAATGAAAGCCAGATCATGTGCTGTTTCAACTTTATTCTTCTTTTCACACCAATAGAATTTTGCTTTTTTTAAAGTTAACTTTTTTTTTTACTTTTGAGAAATAACAGCAAAAAAAAAATGTGGGTTTCACCACCACTTCAAATATTAACAATGTTTCTGAAGTTGTAAAAATGTGTGTACAATAAAGAGTGGAGTTTGAAATTTGAAACAAGCGTTTTTATTTTCTTCTCAATGAAGCAGAGAATTTATGAAAATGCAACACAAAATCTCAAATACATAGATAATGTCAGTGAAAACAGGCCTGGGTAAAGTGAACAGCAAATACAGTGTGCAACTTATCAATGTGCAAAAATTATGACCAGTGTTTTCGTTCGGCCTGATGAGCAGCACAAAATACTTTAATAACTGCAGCTATCTGTGCAACTGATAGCTGCATCAGCCTTGTCCCTGACTTATGACGATCTTAGACTTTTTTCCTTTTTTCTACTGTTTGTTGTTTTATCTGTGGTTTGACATGTTTTCACCTGAGTTCCTCCAGGTGCAGCAATCTCTTGAAGAACCTCCTGTCTTCTAACCAGAGTGAAATAGTTACTCACAAGTTCTGGAAGGCACACACAGTTAAAAAATTGATGCGCCTTTTTAAGGAGAGCACTCCAAAGCTGTGCGTCTGGCAAAATACACACCACAGCACATTCCTTTTGTGTCCACAAAACAAAATCACAGTACTTTGAGTGTGTAACAAATATTTGGGTCTGAACTTGTGTGTAATATGGATGGTGCTTTTTAAGCTGCAGCTTTTCATCCAGTTTTTCCAAACAAAAGCACTTGTCGCCACTGTTGCATGCCTCCTCGATGATGCTGTTTCGGTATTTGTATGGACATTTTATTTCAATGCAACCGCTTCCACAGCAGGTGCACTGCACTATTCCATCAGGTGATGCTCCAACCTCTGGAAAATGAGGATTAACAATGAAGCCACACCGTCTCAGTTCAAAATCAGTGTGGTGTTTTTCTCTCTGCAGTCTGTACTGTCTTCTTCCGTTCTCCTCATTTTGAAGTCCCCATGTTGTGGCAGCACAGCGGCCTGCTCTGTTGCTGTTGTTCAGATGGCAAACTGCTTTTATGGTTGTGAGTGCAGGCTTTTCCAAATCAGAAACATACACAGAATGCATGTTTGATGCTGTTATCCGCCCTACACGGAAGTGATGCCAAGCTGAAGAATTTTGCTGCTTTCTTGTGTTCTTTTCAATGTAGTGTGCTTGCTCTGGTGTAACTGCAGCCTTGTCTGCTAAGGTTTTGCAATGTAGAAGCAAAGCAGACAGTTCAGTATTTTGAAATTTCTCATCCCGTAGTTGGCAGAGTGACTTTGGTGCAAAGAATGGTTGCACAGGATCAACAAATGCTTCATAATAGTCAGGATAAGTACAAAGAACTGCAGCTTTCGGCGTTATCGTGTGTATTCCAGCCAGGTAGGAGGTCCACTGATCCTCTGTGGCAATGCCATGTGGGCAGGTGCTTGAGGATGCCCTTGGACTTTGTATGTTTGTTCCTTCACCATCCAGGATTTTATTCAAGCACTTTCGTTTGGAGTTCGGAGTGGTGAAGTCTATTCTGTGCCCAGCTTCTGCTCCCACCTTAGATACGTTGCTGGGTATCATCCAGTAAGCAGGTTGGCCAGTCACTGTAACTGTCTCTCTGCATCTGATGACAGCCTCCAGCTTGAACAGCATAGCTGCAACATGTGTGCATGTCTCTGCGATTCCAGCCATACATGTACAGTGACCTGATAGTATGGCCCCTGTTGGTTCAATGATGGCCCAGGGTTTCAGTGGGGTATCATTAAGACGTTGGGAATGAAGGACCTGTAAGATGAGATAAAAAAAAAAAAAAAGAAAAATTAGTAATCTGAAAAAATTGGTAGGTCTGAGACATTTACTGTACTGTAATAATTTGTTAATATGATTCATTGTTTCAGCCCTACATTAAATACATGAAATTAACTACACAGAGTAACCACAGCCCAGATGTACAACTTCTAATATTAATATTTTAAATGCTCAGTGTCAGTTCCTCTTATAGTTCCAGTGCACATGTAATTATAATGCATTTATTTTCCGTTCCTTGAATGTATTTTTTTTCATGATCCAGAGAGAGTATATTAAAAAAAAAAAAAAAGAGTGGGTTTTAACTCTGTTTACCTCTGCACAATTCTATATCTTAAGAAGAAAACACAGGATAAATCCACATATTACAGACATATTTAGACTATATTTGGTTAAACAGACACTGTCTTAGTCACAGGTACATTTAAATGATATCTTTTTCAAAGTGGAAAAAGTCCTAATTCCACATTCATCAGAGCCAGTGATGCTTTAAGTCTTGATGAACAGCATCTAGTGCATGTAGTGCTTATAACATTTGTATTAATGTTGCAAGACATGCTGCTGTTCTTTTTTAAACAAAATGAGCCCTGAAGCTCACATTAAGCATAAAAAAAGAGCCTGCATATTTTGCAAAGGACCAATGAAACTGAAGAATAGTGTCCCTACCAAAGTTGAAATCAAACCTACACCCTTGGATTCACAGTTCATGCAACTTAACTCATTTACAGCTGTCTTACCTTGGTTGTGACAATCGTGTTTGTACATTCATCTGGTTGAAATGACAAGAGATCCTGCACCCAGCCATTTGAAAAGTGCCCATGGGCTTCAAGGGATTTGTAGTTCCGAAATTCTGAAAAAGTGTAAGCGCTTATCCCATACACAAGGTAGTTGGTAATATCCAGAGAGGTAGTTGGAGGTAGGAGTTCTGCGTCAGACTGCCAACTATTAGCTCTCACTTGGTATGGATCAATGTTGTTTATGGAGGCTAACTTGGCATAATATCGTTCCCTAGCAGCTTTTGAAAGTTTGTCTGGGTAGGGTATCCGTTCAGTTTTCTTGTTCTTTTCCATTTCAATGATAATGCAGCGCTCTCCTCTCATCTTCTGTTGTTTTGTTTTTCTTCCGCTCACCACAAAAATGGCGCTAGGGGGCGTGTCTGTCACGTGACTGACAAAGACCGATTGCTTTTTTGTCCATCTCTTAAAATTGGCCCGTATGGTAGCAATAATCGGGTATGTGTGTAAAGGTGTGTGTCCGTCTTCCGCTTTCCACCGGAAGTCAGATGTTACACTTCCCGCGATGTTGGATACACACCGCGCGAATCGGAAACTTTTGGCCAATCAAATCGCTGCACTGACAACACGGAAGGAATGTACACAAGTAACAGAAGAGACAAGCCAGACAATGATAAAGTGATTGAAAATCGGTGAGTATTTTACATTTTTCTGCCTCTGCATTCAACAGGTCGAGTCCGTGAGTTTTTTTTTTAACAACAGCATGATTTCATATTACTGTTAGTATTTAGTTTCTGGGGTTACAATAGTCGGAAGCTAGCGCGAAGCTAACGCGAAGCTAACGCAGCTTCTGGCTTTTTTTGTAAATATAAATTTTATTAAGCAAAATTTTCAAATGCATACAAGAGAAGCGATATAAGTAAACAATTATGTCACGTTATATTTGTTGCTAAGATGCCATTTTAGGTGGAAAAGGCGTAGTGTAAACAACCGCAGCATAGCTAAATGAAGCATAGCAGCCTGTCCAAGATAAGTCTTTATAGTTAACATAAGCTTGAAAACAGGGGCGGATTTGAGAAAAAATAAAAGAAGAAAATAGAAAGATAAGGGGCAACTACATACCAAGGGGCATCGGCGTCGCCAGACCCCATTTACTGGGGCACGTGCCCCAGTATAAATGAGCTGTGCCCCAGTATAAATCTCATGAATATCTGCAACAGTATTACATTTTTTTAATGCATCAATTTAGATATTTCTAACGGGAGGAGACGTATATTTCTACTCAAATGCGGAGCAAGTGTGTTGTTAACTCCAAATTGAGGATGTATTAGCGCCCCCACGTCAGCGCATGTCACTGCATGAACTGCAGGTAAATTAACGCGCTGCTCTCAACTGAGTTGGATGGGACACTGTGCGGCCACGACGCATTTTTAGTTCTGGTAATGTTTCTTACCTGTCAATTTTATTATTTTCCCAGTGAAACCAGATGATTTATAGGCTACTAACTGAAAATTACTGCATTGGTTTGTAGATGGATATCAGGAAATTCCTCACACGAAGCAGAGACAGGGAATCAGTAAAACAAGATGAGAGAGGGAGGTAAGGTCCCGTAATGAATTAGTGATTTAATGTAACCAGTTACATTAGGAACGTTATAAGTAATATGATAGATATTTACATAATTATAAATTTACGTTTTTTTTATGTTTGCTGTAGAGAATGAGAATGCAGGTGCTGGAGTAGGAAAGGGAGGAGGAGGCGAGACTGACAGGCAAGAGACAGGAGAAGGACAGGAGAGACAGGACCATGAAGGTGATGAGGATGCAACAACCAGCTTCCACAAACAAGAAGGGGACATTAGTGACTTAGGGGGAAAGCATGATGGTCCTAAACAAGTGAAGTTGTCCCACCATCCCCAGCACAAATTTGGAGTAAAAAAACATTAATTTAATTCAAAATGGTTTGAGCTTTTCCTGGTTAAAAAAGAAAGCCTTGTTATCAAGGATATGCAGTGTGTTTTCAACTTGCTTGATAACATCATATTCCCAACACTAACGCAGGTCATCCAGATCTCCCTCACAATCCCAGTCTACAGCTGGAGTTGTGAAAGGTCTTTCAGTGTGTTGAGAAGGCTCCACACTTGGCTGAGGTGCACAATGGGACAAGACAGGCTCCATCATCTTGCTATTTTATCAGTTGAAAAGGAAGAACTTTCTAAGCTGAGTCACAAGTGATTGACCACTTTGCAAAAATGATAAATATGAGGTACACTTTAATGTTAAAAAAATAAAAGGAAAACTTAGCTCAGGACGAGTTAAAATTTCCCCCGAACTAAAACTCTGTAACCTAGGAATTAATGATTACTTCAGAATGTGTATAAGGAAACTTTTTATTTGTCAAAGTTGTTGATGTCTTATTTTTTATAGCTGCAATGTTGAAAATGTTCATGTTTGTTAAAACAAATATGCTCTTATACTCATTAATA